GCTGTCCTGGGTGATATACTACAATAGACAAGGGATGTGAACATTTTACTTTCAACTCGAATTACACGGACATACAGGAATATAACAACATGAAGGTTGACATCTTGCTGTCATGATTATTGACATTGTGATCCCTCAGACCGACATCAGAATGACAACAGACAAAACAAAACATTGCATGATGCCATATTGTTAAAATTGGTTGGTTTGTAGTCGGTGTGGAGTCATTTTGGCTGTGTGACTGTGGTAGAATTTGTAGCTAAAATATAATAGTCTACCAAGTGAATTGTACAGCGGACGTTCAGGGTGCTACACTTGATACTACACAGTTTAGTAACATTGCTCTGTTCAGTTTAAAATGCCATGTTAGAATATAATTACTGTTTGTAACTTTTGTATTTATTTTCCCTTTTAAGTTTAATTAAATGTTCACATTTTAAAATTCTTTAAAAGTACCTACTTGTATGTATCTTTTAAATCTAATACAGATTGCCACTTATATGTACTTTCCAATAAATTTCTATTTTAATTTTTTACCTTCCAATCGCCAAAATTTAATTTGCCTTTTACTTATGGTACTAATGGTTAAACAAGCAAAATATCTGTCTTGTTCTCATGTATAACCAAGTTACTTCAACAAACGTTCTTTGATTTTATAGACGCTGTAAAGGGTCGTTCAGATGTATATGACATTGCAAAACCAGGGTGTTTTTTTTGTGATGATGTAAAGAGTGAAACAATTTCTCTATCTCAGTGATTACACACAAGTCTTTTGTTGTGCGCTGTAGCCGTTCATTTTACACGTTAACAAAAAAGTGGCTGCTTTTTTGCAACTTTTTACCGCACCACATCTCAACGAACCTTTATAGAAGATGCTTTGCATCGTGTGGTCAACAAAGGGTCCGTATGATTTAAACCTGCATTTGAGTCAATTGTTTTGTCAATAGAAAGAGTCATTTTCATTAGCCATTTACTGCCAAACGAATATGAGATCTAATTTCATCAGGTAATTCAACATTGTGTGTGGCTTTTTCGGTTAACACTATTTAACAAGACATTTAATTGCTCACTGAGTATGTATTAAGAATATATATCACTTCTACAAAGTGATATTTGAAGCTCATTTGGTGAATATAATATAGCCACATGGAACCCCTAACATCAAGAGCAAAACATATTTTGTGAACTGTATATGAGTTCAGGCCCTTCAGGCTCCAAACTGATGATTATATCTTGGTCAAGTCCAAATGCATGAAACTAAGTTTAAGACACAGGGCTTCGATGCTCCAAATAAGAGTTTCATTATGTTGTATTAGCAAAGAGAAAGCAAGAGTTTAGGTTATATAATTGCGTATCGTAAAGACTATCAAATTTCATTGTTTAGTGACTCCGTTTGAAGAGGCTAATTTTTCTAATTATTAGATAATTATTTCTTTATTGACCAAGAATTACTGGAAGAAGATTTCGCGTTGATGTAACTTGCCATTAAATTGAATTGTATATCTGGATATGGCTCCTACATATGATATGTTCATTTCATCTTCTTCCTTATCTTCTTCTTAATTCTGTTGTGCAATTTTGAGAGCCTGAGGCATAGAATTATTACATTGTTTATTGTGAATATAAAAGACAAATAGTGATTATTTTGCTAAATGTAGTAAGTGGGAATGTTTTTTTTTTGTAATTTTATATCCTGGGCCCTGTCTTTCAAAGAGTTGAACTTGATATTAAATAATTGTAACTTATTTCAGATTGATATCTATCCTAACTATGTACGTAAAAGATATGAGTTTGCAAACTTGGGTTAGATCCAAATCAATCGCAACTCTTCATTAGACGGGGCTCAGATATTTATTTTTGGCATTTTCATACTTGTTTGTAATGAGAATGGAATTGTGCTTCTTGAAATATGATTGTTTTATGTTATCAACATGTATTGTAAAAAAAGTGTTTACTTTTAATTAGCTCTTCTACACTGTTTCAATGTTCCCATTTATGATAGACCTGAAGAATCTCTATAACTGCATAATATTTTTGAATGATTTTCCTTTCAGTTAATGTAATCAATCATGAATTTAATAGATATAAAGATAACGAACCTATGACAATTATTCATAGGAACAGATTTAATAATAATGATAATAGTGGGTTCTTGTATAGCGCTCATGTCAGTCAGATTTGACCCTCCTGGCGCTCCTGATTATTACCCTGGCTTTAGCACGGCTGCCGTACGGCGCTCTAGCATTTCAAATTCCTAATTATTGATACAATTGTCAAAGGTTGTTTCCAATTCGTTGCACAGTCTCTATTTACACAATAAAAACTTTCTTATTTTCATGGTTTTAAAATATTATGCAAAATTCAAACACTGTAATCTTTTATGGCAATACCCATGATTTCTTTTCCTTAATTCAATTTGTGTATATTTGCGAGCGTTGTAGGTGAAATGCTGAATCAAACTGCTAATTAGGTAATAATTCCTTTGATTAAAATGATTTGAGCCAGTCTTGCTTATATTTAGGATTGTTGTATAACCCTTTACTAGGTACATTATACTGGTATATCCTTCGAAAATTAATTTTCATTTTCATGTCATGTTGACGATTAAGAAGAAGTATACTGATTATGAAAATTTGTATCCTTGTTTTAAATACTTAAAAAGAATTACACTGTGTATGTATTTTCTACCCACTTTTTCACATACTTAACTGGTTATTTCAAACATGTTTTCATTTTTTAAAATTTGGATACAGAATTGGACATGCACTAAGAGCTCAATGTGCTACATGTATACTTTGATTTTGGGGTGAAAATTTGTTTATGTTGAACTAGAATGATGCCTTCCAATACCTAGGATAAAATTAATTTCTTATTTGTATGAATACTTAAAGATGTAATAAGTGGTATGAATGTCCATAGAGAAAAGATTTTCTTGTGTTTTCAGGGTTCTAAGATATTTCTAGTGCTGCTAGATTCTGGCTGACTTGGAAGAGTGTTTCTCATTGAAATGTGTACTAAAAGGACCTGCACATTAATACCACTTGCCTCTAAAGACCTTGTCTCCCTTGAGTGGTCTTATATATACAGGTTTCACTGCATCTTGGTAATTTTATGATATAGATTGTGCTCTGTTTCATCGATATTTCCTCGAGAAAAGTCTGGCCTGAAATCATATATCTCTTAGAGTATGTAGCTTAGGTTCATAATGTAATATGCATTTAAGACATTGTTGCTACATGTATGCAGAGAAACCTTTGGCAAGCTGTTTGGTCGTCCTGATCAACATTTTGTTAGTGAAGCTTACAAAGAACATTATGATGAAAAGAGTAGTTTAATTGTCGCTCAGTTGCAGATCATATGTAGCTCATGATTATACTTAAACAATTTATGATTCTTTAATTGTTATCAATAGACAGTCTAAGTGAGTAAAATGTAGTACTAGCCATTATATTTGTTTGTATATTTAGCAGGGTTTTCCCAATTGATATTCTTAATTTGCAATGCTGATGCCAGTAGATGGTATTAGGCCTCGAATCAGAGCTGAGTGCCTATGATTTCTAGTAAAATATTTCCATCAAATGTTGGATATTTATACAACAAATTGATATTGTACAGAAATAGATGATACATTTTTAAAGAAATCTATATTAGCATACATTGGTTTCCTGTAGTTGCTCAATTGTGTCAAATATTTCTTTGTAAGAATCAAGGTTGCAATGATGGTAATGATGATCAAAGTCGAGATGGTTGTGGTGGTGGTGGTGGTAATTATGGTGATGGTAGTGATGGTGATGATAATGGTAGTGGTGATGATGGTATTGATGATGATGATGATGATGATGATGATGATGATGATGATGGTGGTGGTGGTAATGATGGTGATAATGATGGTGATGATTACGGGGAAGATGAGAATGATAATGTTGGTGATTATGATATTAGGGGTAATGTAATTGGGAACATTTACCAGTTAATTCCTGATCCAGAGGGAATATTTTGTTTAACTTATAATATATAAATATTTTCCCACACCCTTATTATATATTGTGTAATCTATTCTACTCATTTTGTATTTGTATTGCCTGTTGTATTTCTTTGTGCTTCAAATTGCTTGGTATACATTGTAAATGCTGGTGGAAAACACATTTCCTCTAGTGGAGACAAGAATACATAATCCTTTACCCCCCCCCCCCCCCCCCTTTAAGGAACGAATTCAATCAGTATAGACTATGATAAGTTAGGGTCCAATTCCCCCCAAAATAAATAGTGATGATTTTGCTGGATAATTACTTTTTTTTTTTTGGGGGGGGGATGGGGTTGAATTAACCCCCAAAAATATATCTGACAATTAAACAACAGACCCAGACCCGGCCCCGTGACTATACCGCTACCCTCCAGCCATGGGGAACCGCCCCTGAATTAAGCCGGTGACCACAGACCAAAATACCCGTCTCTTGCCCAAACTTTTGCCCGTTTCACAAAGCGCGCGCCTTTCAGTCTATTTATATTATACAACACCTGATTCATTGACTGCATGCACTGAGAAGAAAAGGTACACGTGATTGTCATCAAAGTAGTATTTCTTGACGTCACCTAATTTCAATACTACGCCACGCCTCTACCTTCATTCATAAGTTGTTTTGGTCTCAAGCTCTTCATTTTTGAAGATGCACAGCTACAAGAACGCCGTACATACGAATGTGTATCAAACAGGTGGTCTTGACGGGAAGCAGTGAAAAAGAGGCGGGCTCCGTTTGTGTTCATTATGCCGCGCCAAAATTGAACTGAAAAAAGTAGCGTTGCGATCGCGCCCCGATATCGAACGATAACGTAATGCAAAGCCGCCGCCGACGATGCGACGAATTGCAAAGCCGTAGACAATCAGAAGAAGGGAGATAAAAATACCTTAGAATCACAGGTAAATAACGCTTGAATGTATCTATAAAAAAATTGTATTTTGAAAGGAAATGTTGGAGACATTGTGAGACGATTTGTTGATTTGGAAATTTTGAGTTTTCATCAGAATCTGAATATAATGGAGCTGGGAGTGAATGCAGCTTGTCGACGTGTCGTTTGCTGTGTGTGTGCATTGGGAAAAGATCGAACTCGTTTGATTTTATTTTTCGTTCATTTTTTAGATCACAGCATGTGAGGAAATGTTTTTCATGTTATTTATGTATTGTTCCTTAAGCCATATTAGAGATGAATGATTTTCATAGATAACTGAACAAACTGCGACAGTGTTGATGTTTTAGATGATATTTTGCAGTAGTAAATCGACTTCCGTTCTGCCTAGACAAATGGGCGCGCCAATAAGTATTGCAGCGAATTTATTTATCGAGAGATTGACCGACTTACAAATATTGTTTGATCTTAATTCTTTGATATTTGTAAAAGATTTATTAACATTACAAAATGGATGGTCTCTTTATGGATGCCCAAAGGGAAGGCACACAACTGTTCTGTATCAAATGAAAGCTTGTGCATGCAAAATTGCAATTAATGGGCGGTGATTGTTAATGTTGTGTCGCCGGTTATCGGGCGCGCGCTTTCTGAACGGCTGCTGGGTCGCATTGACACCGGCTGCCGCGCAAGCCAGACGCCAGACGGAAAGCTTAAGACAGTTCTAACTTAGAGGTCTACTAGTTACTACTAGTTCTAGACCCTGACACGAGACTCTTTCTTTTTTCTTTTTCAATTTGGAATTAACAGTGTCATATAGATCTAGACCTCTATTACGTTAGGTCTAGATCTACTGCACAATTTTTTTGACCATTCTTCTTGTGAAATAAGCCACCACAGCACCATTCATTCACTTTTTCACTTTTTTTCGGACTTTTTTTCCAGTTTTTTCTGAACGATTTTTCAATTTTCCCTTTTGCCTTTTTTTTGGATTGTTTTTCAAACCATACTCTACTCAGAAGAACACATTTAAAATTTTAAGGCTCACTAAAAATGTTAAGATACAGCCCCCCCCCCCCCCCCCCGGCCCCCCCCCCCAAAAAAAAAATCTAGGTCTAGATCTAACGTTAGAAGGTCTAGGCAATAAGCCAATATTCATCCAATTTTTGTCCAGAATGGACAAAAAAGTGGTAGCCTAGTCTAGATCTACATGCCGAGTAGACCTAGAGTCTAGTCTATGGTTACAAAACTGAGTGCGCGATGAGACACCCATAACCTTGTTTAAATTAACTTGAACCGTTCTTCTAAACAAAATTCTAACAAACTTTAAAGATGAAGTTCCATCTATAAAATGACCTGAGTGATAGACCTCTATTTCTAACACAATAATACCCTTGGGTGTTGGTTCCATTTAGTAGGGACAGGTCTACTTCAAAAGTATTTACAACATTCTCTTTATTCTATTTCATTCTCTTGCAGAAGTTTGATACCATTCTGAAGTAAATATGGCTGAGCTAGCTTCCACTATGACCGGCATGTTGTTGCCAAATCACTTCCAACCCTTGGACCATGATAGTGAGAGTGATGATGAATCTATGGAGTATGGGGGTAGCATACAAATCCCTTTCTCTTCCATGTTGGAGACGAGCGATAGCAGAGATGGACGAGAATCCAAATCAAGTAGCCCTAATGTCAGTGTGGAATACCTACCCCATATGAATCTTAAACAGAGGACAGAAGAAAGCTGGAATCACATGGATTCCTCAAATCTTACGAACGACTCTGGTTTCACCCCAAATTCATCAGGATTCAGCGCGGACCTCAGTTCAAGCGGGGGCTTCACGTCGTGTGATCTTAGTTTTAACTTGAAGAACTCATCCATGAATCGCGGGGTGTCTTTCAGAACTCAGCAGCTACATGTAGGTGTTCATACCTCTGATCATCAGATCGGTCCTGCGCAGCCCGTTACCCCAACAAAACAACAGGACACTAATCTGGTTCACAACGATGACCCCTTGACCCCTACAGCAAACCTCAAGATGCTGCTCAGTGCAATGAGTCCGGAGATCAGAAACATGGAGAACAAAAAGAAAAAAGCGAGATTGTTTGATGACATGGTCGAAGCGGCGTCACAAGGAACAGTATTACCTAGACCCCAAGGAACAGTGTCATCCTCCAACCAAGAAACCTCCACTATGAACTCATCATCTGGACATGATACATCTTTCCTTTTGTCACCTTCAGATGAAAACGGAGTAGAGGAAGGAGAGAAAAACAACAGGAAAGCCAAGTCTCTTGGATTACTTTGTCAAAAGTAAGTGTGATTGTAGTGATCTCTTAAATATTCCAAGCATACTTCATTTTATACTAAATGTAGTCAAAGTAGGCATCAAAGTTATTGGCTTCTAATGGAATATAAAGAGTTAGAAAACTTTTATGTCAAAAAAGACCCAAAATAATTATGAATTTGTAGAGTGAATGTCGGGTCATCTTGGATCTTGTTCTATCAATGCATTTATCATAATGACTATCAAGATTTTGATAAAAAATTGTATCAGTTTGATTGCAATTGTTTTGATACAAAATCATATGCATCTGTCTAGAGTCAACTTTAGAGCATTACTACATTTATTGATTTGAAAGTTTTCAGCTTATTTTAATTTCTCTCGCACTCTGTTTCTGATCTTTGGAGCCATTGCATTCAAAATATTAATGATGCTTACCGGTAATTTTCTTTTCAGATTCTTGACAAAATATCCTGATTACCCGAAAGATGGAAAGGCCATGGATATCTCCCTGGATCAGATCTCTAAAGATTTGAGTAAGTAATGAACCAGAACCCTTTTTCCTACGGAAACCTGGGGGTGCAAATTAGAGAATTAATTAATCATTGGTTTGATATTAAAGCCTCATATTTTAAATGATGGGAGGGGGTGGGGTTACCACATCTTTAGAGCACAGTTTTACTTATTGCACTTTTGATAAACATTTGCAGTCCTAACAGTATAGTATGTGAAATACTTGACTAAAGCTCTAAACTCTAAAATCGATAAGATATGATTGTGGATGTTATATTTTTTAAAGATCCTTGTGAAAGTTTTGTGTAAGATTCAGTCAAACATGATGAATTTTTTGCCTTTCTTGCAGACGTTGAGAGAAGAAGAATCTATGACATAGTGAATGTCCTTGAGAGTGTGGAGATGGTCAGCCGGAGAGCTAAGAACAGATACCTGTGGCATGGCAGGACACATCTCTACAGGACACTAGCAAAACTAAAGGTACAGATACGAACAATGCTTGTTTAGTGATTGATTTACAAGTAATACACATCAGTGAGGGCATTAGTAAGAATTACCCACACTCGGTACCTTTGGAACATTCTAACACGCCCGAGGCTGTAGCCCAGGGTGTTTGGACTGTTCTGAAGGTATTGTATGTGGGTAATTTTACAAAATGATGTGTATTATTTGTTTTTATAAAATTATGTTTTATTACATGATTCTGCTAATGACCGGTCGTTGCATTTGATAATGATCGGTCATTATGATTATCAATATTACAATTTAGGCAAAATAAATGCCTGGTCACGTGTACGCTCTCAACCAATCACTTGATTAGGATCCACGTCATCATCTATAATGGTTGATAATGAATAATGTTTAAATACTGAGAAAAAAAGTTACCTTGTAATACTTTATAGTCTAGCTAAATCGCTCACCCCTCCTGTGTATTCCCGACACGGCACTAATATCCTTTGGCAAGACATTAACCTGCACTTGCTACTCTCCACCCAGGTGTTAAATGGGTACCCGGTAGGATGCGACCGTCATTGTTAGTCAAACATTTTTTGAGCGTCAAGTAACGCCTGGCTGGTATGCTCCCCAGGGAGAGGAGATTGTGTGCACAGTGTGTGTGGGCAAGCACTGAATCCAATGACTGGGTGAATAGTATATTTTAAAGCGCTTCGAGACATTTGTATAAAGCGCTATATAAAAGCTGAATATTATTATTTATTATTATTTGTTTCTTTGGCACAGTGCCTAGGTCAGAGACAGAAGTTTGCTGAGCAGCTAGCTCTCCTTCACAGTCGATTAGAAGACGGGAGTCTATCGATGGATGAAAGCAAATCACCGGTATACGGACCGGACAGGACGATGGGAGACGTTGCTAAGCAACCACTCCAGGACGTTGCTAGGCAACCTCTCCAGGATATCAGCAATTTCTTGAAATCTCCGGTGGAGACGGAGATGAGGAAAGATGGGAGAGACAACTGGGAAGATGGTGAGATTTTGTTTATGAGTACAAAGTATAAAGTACAAGTCCATTGAAAAATATGCTTTAAATACATTACTAAATAGTGGGTCCTTGTATAGTGCTCATTTACATGTACGTCGGACTTGACACTCCTGGCACTCCATAAGACATAAGTATTACTCTGGCTTTAGCATGGCTGTCATAATGTCACTCTAGCATTACAAGGAATTAAATCCTGCCAGGTACCCATTTACCTTAACTGGTTTAAGTGACACAAATGACTCAAGAAATAGTAAACTCTGCTTAAGTTTGAATCTGTTCCACTTATTCAATATTTGATTTAAGAAGTGTTAATAACCCATGTTTTGCATATACTGTATTTTAGCAAAAAATTTGATTCAACTTGTGCGACTTTGAATTCATATGCAGAGTTAACTGTAGACATTTTTTAATGTGAGAAGAAACTCTGATTACCGGTAGTGGTACTGTTTAATACAAGATGTCCTATAGAAAAGGACCTGACCTCCACATGTAACATTCTTTGTAAGATCTTCCTCCCAGAATATCAATTTTATTTATTAGTGTACCTTTCATTTTCTGTATTTCAGATACAAAGAGAGATAAGACGTTAGGAGTGATGAGCCAGAAATTCATCATGCTCTTCTTAGTGTGTAAGGTATGTATCAACTCTTTCTTAGATTAACCTACACATGTAGTGTAGTACGGGATGTCCAACATGAAAAAATGAGAACACCATTGCTTAAAAACTCCAAGACAATAATAACAGCTCCAAAATTGTGCCCCTTGTCTGCTTTTCATACTAGATTTTGAGAATTGTGCAGGTGTCCTACTCAATACTCTTCCAGATTCTTTTGCATTTTGTTTTAGTGTATTTGTATGAGATATACCGATCCCTTCAATGGCATACTGATTTTCGCCCATTATTATCTGTGAAAATTTGCTACTTTGTACGAGAAAACATCCCTTTTACAAAAATCTGAGATATCGTTTGTGTCTTATCCCTCAGGATCGGATCATCTCATTGGACGTAGCTGCCAGGATCCTGAAAGGAGACCAGAATTATCAGATCGGAGAGAATGCAAAGTTTAAGAGTAAGTTATGTGAGATATATGGATCTTATTTTGTCACTAAAAGATTTTAGGGTAGCATGATGTGTCTCGGGCACCTGTTAGTGTCAAGCCAAGTGTTAAGACTAAGAAATTGCAAAGATTTTATTTTCTTGAAACAAAAACAGGAACTTGGTGGAGTTATTGCTCTGGAAAGATATGCCAAATTTGACAAATATGCCATATTTTGACAAATTTGACAAAGTATTGTAATTCACAATGTATCTCTTGAAATGTTATTCATGACAATCGTTAGAAAACTAAGGCCTTGTTTGGAAAAAACTCTGCAAAACTGCAGCTTTTTTTCCTTATGATGACGTAAGGTGTGATTGTACCTGTCACAATTTTGTATAAAAAATCAGAGCTCGGTGAATACGTGCATAATCTTTGTCGCGCATAGTTGCCATTCATTAACATGTAAACAGGAAATGTGATTGTTTTACCTGAATTAGCCTGGGGTGTTTCTTGCAATGATCTGGTAACATTGCTTTATTATCTGTTTCTTGTTCAGCTAAAGTAAGAATACTGTACAACATTGCAAACATCTTGACTTGTCTGAAGTAAAGCTGATTAATAAAATAAACAAATACATGTATGCTATGCTTTGACAAATTCACATTATAATGCTTGACAGACAATTCAGGATAACTATGAGAAAACTTAGTGTTTCTTGCAATGATCTGGTAACAGTGCACTATTTTGTTGCTCTAGCGCTTAGAGACTTCGGTGATAAGCACCGTTTTTATTATTATTTATTATTATTATTATTCTCTGTTTCCTGGGCAGCTAAAGTAAGAAGACTGTACGACATTGCAAACATCTTGACTAGTTTGAAGCTGATTGAGAAGATTCACAAATGCTTTGATGAATTCACAATAATAATGCTTGAGAGACAAATTAGGACAATTGTGAGAAAACTTCGTGTTTCTTGCAATGATCTGGTAATATTGCTTTATTCTATTGCTCTAGTGCTTCGAGACTTCAGTAGTAAGCGCTTTATAAGCACCGTTTTTATTATTATTTATTATTATTATTATTCTCTGTTTCCTGTGCAGCTAAAGTAAGAAGACTGTACGACATTGCAAACATCTTGACTAGTCTGAAGCTGATTGAGAAGATTCACCTGTCTGAGGGACGCAGTCGTAAGCCAGCATTCAGGTGGATAGGACCTGATCCAGATACAAGTCATGTTGACTGGAGTAAGTGGTGTCTGTTAGAGCCAGACATTTAAATGCTAATTTTATTGGAGGAGCTCGCGCCTTTGAATGTTTTTTAAAACAGATATATGGCGCCATACAAATGCTGTTCATCATCATCATCACCATTGACTTTTAGTTATTAAAAAAAAAGGAAAAAAAGATCAGTGATATCACGCAGTAGGGTACAGGTGATTCTACTATTTTCCTTAGCGTTAATTCGTTATTGTTAAATGTAGAAGGAGTTTGTGATTTACATCAGGGCCAAGATATTGGATAATTTGTGCCCCATATGTTACAAAGTATTATGGAGTTATGAACATAAATTGCTATTAAATGTGTCATTCCTTTCTTTAAAAAACAACAACACTTTCAGTTAACAACTAAATTATTCATACCCTTACCAAGTTTTGTAATCTATTTTATTTTTTGCAGGTGAACTTCCAACAGGCACTAAACCGACCCAGAAGCATTCCTACTTTCCTCTCCCTCCTGGTATGTATTAAGGATAATAATAATAGTTAGTTCTTGTATAGTGAGCGTGTCTGTCAGACTTGACAGTCTTGGCGCTCCAAAGTTATTGCCTGTCATGTGCTGATATTGCTACAGTCCATCAATTGATTTAAACATTTGAAGTGTTTAGTTATATCAGTCGATAGTAGCTTTATAGCACTCATGTATACAATATGTGAAAGGTTTACAGTACATATGCACCGGGTCATTGTTTGAAAACAGGCTATTCTTCTACCAAATGTAAAGTAATTATTCCCAAATCCAGACTCATCTACCAAAAAAACATCTTACAATGGCTGTTGTTTTTAAAAAGTGTAACAATATCCCACTTTTCATCAGAGCACTATGTTGTCTTGCCTCTTTCAAATAATCTCTAAAAACATACTTTTTTCCTTGGTAACTTAAAATGATTTACCTATGTTATGAATCTATACCGGGTATGGTGGCTCAATGGTTAGAGCGTCCGCCTCATGAACGGGAGGTCGTGGGTTCGATCCCCGGCCGAGTCATATCAAAGACTTATAACAATGGGACCTTCTGCCTTCTAGCTAGGCACTCAGCATATTAGATTGGAGAAGGGTAATAGTATAGTATTAATGACTGCTTTGAGAGCAATAGTTGTTTTTATACGCTCAAGGGAAGGTTAGAATTGTGCTTCGCGTGGTGGATGTTTTGCGGCTGCTCCATTAAACAGGCCCTTCTTTTACTTTTGCAATGCATATTGGCACGAATTTAGATCAAGATCTATCGGCAGATGTTGTTTTTTTGTTTTTGGAAGTTTATTTTCGTCTTCATGTCAACAATGCAAGATAAAATTGTCGGTAAGATCGATCGAGATTCAATTGTATTGAAATTACCGACCAATTCTTCGCACACGTACGGTATCCTCGATCGCTCAGACCATTTTTTAACATGTAACCTATGGGGTAACCATGGAGACTGACCTATTTTCCCAATAACCATGGTTATTGGGATTTTGAACTGTTTTTAACCATGGTTACCGGGAATTTTCGGGAACAGTTAAAGTTTATGAATGCAATTTCGACCAATCAGATTGCTGGATTACTTAAGTGAGGTATATAATAACATGTTATGTTATGCAGGGCCCGCTGGGAGAGCAGTTTTATAACTGAAGTGGCTACCCTGGGTAAATAAAACGTTATTATTATTATCATCTATTCATATTAATTCTTCACACTCATTATATTCTGTAATTTTGAAAGCATTATGGTACTACTCGTTTTAAGAACTCCTAAATAATCATTATTCATTAATATCTATATAAGGCTTCCAAGTGGTACAATAAATCAGTGTATTCAATATATTTTGCGCAGTACCCGGATGACTGGCCAATATTGTTTTTGTATTGATCAGTCATCCAGGAACTTTAAGTATTGATGTAAATCAATTATAAAGATAATAATGAATAATAATGATTATTTAGGAGTTCTTAAAACAAGAAGTACCATAATGCTTACAAAATTACATAACAAAAATATTTACAGAGGTAAGTCAAATTTTTGTTATTTCTCTAGGCAGCCTGATAAAGATAATAATAATAATATTATATGGCTTTGTTTTTTGTGTGATACAAGAATATATTGCTCTCGCTATGACAATATATTCTTGTATCACACTCAAAGCCATCCAATATTATATAAATATTGTTGTAATTATTATCAATTCCATCTTGCCATTTTGTTCTCCACGTGCAGTGAGTTCTGATTCCTGGTCTTCTAACCCCACCCACAAACAAACCCCAGCGATGGTCAAGCTACCCCTCGGCAAGACCACGCCCCTCAAGTCCCGCCTCACCTGGAGTCGGACCGCATCCTTTAGCGCCATCTGTGAGGTAGCAGAGCAGGAGTGCCGCAAGTATTCCTCAGCCCCAAGCAGTCCCGTCAAGGATGAGGAGGAGGATGAGAACGAAGAGAATAGCTCTTCTTCGACCCTTAGCAACGGCACCAAAAAAGGTGATTTCATCATATAGCTATAGGTGCCTGTGCATGTGTCATTGTGAATATGTAATGGAAGGCCGGCTAAAAGTGTTTTTGAGGTTAAACTGTGCATGTGTCTTTGTGAATATGTAATGGAAGGCCGGCTAAAAGTGTTTTTGAGGTTTTTTTTTTTTGTGGCATACAGAAGGGTGTAGCCTTCCATTCCTTTTATTGATCCATTGATCTACCTATTCTACATTCTGTATTATTTTCTTTTGCTAAAATTTTATTTATTCCTTGATTAGACCCAGCATTCTCTGCAAAATAACAGTTGTAATATGTTTTGAGTATTGTAGTTTGAGCATTTGGATGCAAAAGCTAATAAACTTCCCTATTTCTCAATATTTTGTTTCTTCTTTCCATTAACAGAGGAAGATTTCATTCAGGAGTTTCAAGCCCTGCGAAACAAGTACCCTGCCTGCGTGTCCAGACTGTTGTTCTCTGGCCCAGCCGTGACCCCATCTGACCCTTCACCCCTGACCCCTGACCCAGCACCATTGACCCCCGAGTCCTTGCAGTATCAGCTGAGCCCAAGAGACACCTCTCAGATGACCACGATGGGGGTAGCCAGCCCCAGAGGCCAGGGAGGAGACTGTAGCAGTGCTTCTAAGACAAAAGCACAGAAATTGGTCTATGTGCAGAGGTGAGTGATATTTCCTCTCATTGTCTTTAAGTGATCCAGTCAAAATTGTCTATAGCGACCGCCCAAGGGAAAAACAATAAGTGGTCTTTGAAGACAGGTTCCTTTAGTACATGTTTCAATGAGTAACCATTTTTAAGGGAAACAAAAAATGTGGTCTTTGTAGACATGTGTTCACTAAAGCAGGTTTGACAGTACTACAGTATCTACAGTTGCCTCTTCTCAACTGATCCATTAGCATGTACTAGATACACTTCCTGTAAAGCCAGAAACATTCTTGATTTTTGAACGACTCCCATTTTCACGCCATAAGAACTTTTCTTGCTGGGTCAGTTACGTTACAGCCATTTTGTGGCATAAATTAATTTGCATTTCTGAACCACCCGCAAATATCCTGAACTTTTCATGTACGTGAGTTTTGGTTGTAAAATTTGTAAATTAGTTGGGAAGAAATCTGTAAGAGCAGCCTAGCTGAAGCAAGGGTGGTATTAAACTACTAAAAAATACTATGAATCCAATATTCCATTTCTTTGTATAATTTTATAGATTTACATACCACTTTTTCACACGATGTCTTCATCGACATTAAAATGTTGTCTTGTTTAAATCTTGGATTTCCTTTTCTGTTTAGATTTGTCCCTTTGCTGAATGCCAATACCATGGCAGCCGTGCAAGCAAGCACCTCCCATCAAACAGATCCTGGCAACCCTACCATCATGACTGGAAGCCGAACCATCGTCGCACCAAACAGCGCCCTAGTTAGTGGGCCACGCGCTGCCGTGATATCACCCACCCCAGGCTCCGTCATCCGTTTACTGCCAATGAGACAAGAGAATTGGGTTCAGCTTCCTCATGGCAGTGATATCGGCTCTAGGAATGCCGTCAATGGTACTCAACATGAGACTGTAAGGTAAGGGCCGCTGGTTCAGAAGGACTGATAAAACTTTTTCTGCTTTATCTCTTTTGCGATAATTATTCCACATTTTGTGGTTTGGCTCAATAAATTTTGATTCAGCATCCTAAAAAATTATACCAGATGCATGAGCAGATAGAAGATGTTACGGACAGGGACAGAAAGTGAAAGTTGAGTGAAGTCAAAATGTGATTTGATCAAGTCTGAAAACCAATTATTTCCAATATATATTGGGGGTGCACAGATAGTGTAAGAGAGAGAGAGAGAGAGAGAGGGAGAAATAGAGAGAGAAATAGAGAGAGAGAGAGAAATAAAGAGAGAGAAATAAAGAGAGAGAAATAGAGAGAGAGAGAGAAATAGAGAGAGAGAAATAGAGAAAGAGAGGGAGATAGAGATATAGAAATACAGGAATTTGTTAATAAACACATTTTAAATGAAGCTTGACAACCAACATATCTCCTTTCTTTGTCTACAGCTCAGTAGCTCAGCCAGAGTCAGGAGCAACCCAAATCAAGTGTGCTGGAGTTCCTAACTCCAACCAATTAGTGACCATCATACGACGCAGCAAACGAGCGGTCAAGCTTGCGCTGGACAAGGAGTTTGAATACCATCCTATTATCAAGAAGGTCAAGTCAGAAACAAATGTTGAGGTAAATTGATTGAGTTATTTCCTTAGATTTCTAGACTTGAGAATCGTTTCATGAAGCAGTCATAAATGCAAGTTTGCCGACATCCCATGGAAGCCCTTGTAAGTTTAATACAGCCGTTTCAATGGGATGTTGACAAACTTTGACCTTAGGATGGTTTTGTGCAACAATGCCCTGGGGAGTGTTTCACAAACACTAAGATAAACTTTAAGTTGGACTTAACTATGGCAGGCCTTTCATGCCACTAGTTCCTCTAACCATTCCTGGCATTGGTTTCTAACAGGACGTACAAATCGTGGTCACATATCTACAGAATTCACCTTTTTCGATAGTTCTTTATTGAAGGAAAAATTATTATCTAAAGATCATAATTGAGAGACCAATGGTGAGAGCAACTAGTGGCATGAATGGCCTGCCATAGTTAAGTCCAACTTAAAGTCGATCTTAGTCTTTGCGAAACACTCCCCTGGTGTTTTGCATCTGTATGCTAGCTTCGTTAATTGATCTGCCTTGATAATAAAGATATTCATGAATGCATCTGTAGGGACACTGATTTTCCGTTTCAAAAAATGGCCTTTTCCGTTTCAGAAAATCTTGAATTCCGTTTCAGATGGGCTGAAAAACGGAAATTCCGTTTTGCCATAGACTTTGTACACATGAAAAAACAAAAATTCCGTTTACATAAGATTTTCATTAAAACATGAACTTGTAGGGTACAAATGTTCTATTAAAGCCGCCACCTTTGACAAGCCACTGATAACCACTCAAAAACATACGGACGGGACTGGATAAACTTGATGCAAAATACTAGTGAAAATATAGACCCCTACGGGCCCTAGAGTCTAGGCTAGACCTACGAAAAATTATCAAATGTTTAGATTTACCAACTTCAAATTCGAACTTAGACTAGCAGACTAAAGTGAGCGGAATGTGTCAGAACACGACATATTCCTGACGGAAATGCTGAGTAGTACCGACGTCAACGAAAACATTTTCAGTCTTGGCTGTCATGTCCGCGATCGATCGATTTTAGGCGCACATGCCAGCCCCTTTTTTTAACTGTACAACAGCGTGTGTGTACAATCTCGCCGCACGTAGCGCCCGCTACTGGCGTGTGTGTGCCTAGTATTACGTCTACGTAATACTAGGCGCCTAGCTGGCATAATAGGATCGTTTCGCTGCTATTTGTACCGTGTTTTGTGTCACAATCTCTATTGGTCCAGCGAAACAAAATGGCAGTGCCCTGTCTCCTAAGAATCTGACGAATATCGCTAAATATTCGGAATTATTAACCATGATTTGAGGCCCAATATTTTTTCACTGCATAACGAGTCACATAAATAGTGTAAGTTTTACGATTTTCTTCTTGAAAAATGAAAAGTTTTGAGGAAAAAGGGGTTTTCCGCGGTTTTCCGTTCGAAATTGCATTTTCCGTTTCAAATGGTCAATTCCGTGAATTCCGTCCGTTTTCCGTGATCGCGGAAAATCAGTGTCCCTACATCTTCATGATAGCTGGCATGTATGTCAGTTTTAAAATACTTTCATACATAGTTTTATTGTTTTAGTAACATGTTGGGATTGTGAATGAGATCTTATATTAAGTGAATGTAAGCTAATAATTTGGCCTAAATCATGGAATCACAAAAAGGAACTTGTACCGAAGGTTACAAAAAAACAAAACCAAATAACACACTTCAATCTGTATGCATCAGTCATCAGCAAATGCTGAAGCTTAGCATGTATCATGCCCTGAATGTTTAGACTATCCTTTTTATTTGAAGCTCTTCTTCTTTCCCTCTATTTAGAATCCACCTGCCAAGGTAGCGGTCTCTGAGCCTGCCAAGAACCCCACCGTGATCATCACCCACCCCACCCCTCTTGTCAGCATGCCTGAAGGACCCCACCCCCAAGCACACACCCCAGCACCCCACCCACAACACAGCTCCGCCCAAGTAGAAACAGGTAAGATAATGTGCACACAAAAGTACCATTTTAATGCCATTTACCACCCAAGTGTAGTAAATAGGTACCTGGTATGAATTCAATGCTTTTGGCAGCCAGGCTAAAGCCATGGTAATAATGGTAAAGTGAAACCTGTATATAAAGACTGTTCAAGAAAGACAAGAAAATAGGCAAGTGGTCTTTATATACAGGTTTCTTTAGTAACGGGTTTCATTGAGAAAGGAATTTTAAGGGAAACAAGAGATGTAATCTAAGTATCTTTATAGATAAGTTGTCTTTCTACGCTGGTGGTCGCTAGAAAGCAAGTTTCATTTTACTTTGTAGGTTCCTTGAGCATCCTTGGGATGGATGGATATACATGTGCGTAATATATGTGTACCTATTATTTGTATTATTGCATCGAGCTAACATGGCCCGATAGGGTTACACGTCACAATGCAGTGAATAGGTCTCGGGAGATTAAGTGCTGGTTACACACCAGACCTGTAAATGGCCCTGAATTCAATGTTTTCTATGATTCTGTGTCTTACAATTGTCATCATTATTATTTTTTGAGTAATTAACAGGTTTCCCTTGATCATGGAAAGCCTGGAAAAGTCATGGGAAATAAAATTGTTTTTCTAAAGTCATTAAAATAAATGGTTCTGGATGTGGGCTGTGTGTGGCTATGGTAGCCTTACATGTACAGTTAGAACTGACAATGGGGGTGGTATGACACTTGGATGTTGCAACCCAAACCAAATTGATACTTATCTGGTCATGGAAAAAGGCATAAATGAGTCATGGAAAGTCATGGACCTTGGTTCTCTAATTCCTGTAGGGGATACGCAAGAGAATTTTTTTTGAATACTCCAGATTTACACAGCAAAATTTTGAGATATATTAAAGAGTGATTCAATTAAATTCGAAAAAGAGAGAATACAATGATGGACATGCTGCAGCTAAAAAGCTGAAATGTATATGTTTACAACTATCAAGGATACATATAAATTGAAAAGAATATCCATCCACAAAACATATCTACATAATCGTACAATGAAACCATGAAAGATAAAATACTGGTCTGATTAAAAAGACAACTGTTCAAATATACAAATAAAAAATAAAAAATTGGTTTGTAAAGAAAGACTCTAGATTCCACTCAACCTTCATTCTCTCTATGACAGGACAAGATGAAAAGAGTAGGATGGGGGACAGGTCTCCGATTCAGGTACTTGGTCCAGCGGAGAAGTTCAATGTTCTGTTCCAGATTTTCTTGGGAACTTCTAGTTTCTTGTCGTTTCATTCTTGTTCATTGTTTCAAGTTTTGTTCACATTTTGTTATCATTCCCCCCCCCCCCCCCCAACAAATGAAAAGAGTAGGATTGTGAACAGGTCTCTGATTCAGGTACTTGGTCCAGCGGAGAAATTCATTGTTCTATTCCAGATTATCTTGGGAACTTCTAGTTTCTTGTCGTTTCATTCTTGTTCATTGTTTCAAGTTTTGTTTTCGCATTGTTTTATCATTTTATTTCCAACCAACTGCATGCAATATTGATCCTTTGATAATTGTTAAGAAGTTACAGCATTATTGTCCATTTTTTTCCAGTTTTGTTACTTAATATAAATCAGCTTTGTAAAAGGTTTTAGAGAACTGATTTTCAAAAGGTGGAATTTCTCCATGTTTCTCTATGGATTTCGACCCAAGTTCAGTTTCAATGCACCAACGCCACCAACCAAGTGATTATTTTGGATTACCAGACACTAATATATTACATGTTTTGTTTATCTGTTTGGGGATGTTATTTTTTTATTTTTTATTTTACTTTCAGCAGTGTTCCTATATATGAGCAGAAATTAATGTTTTTTTAAGACACCCTGTACTTGCCTGAAATTTGGTCTGATTAGAGAAATGATAATCCATGTAAGCCTGTGGGATTACAGACTGATTTCCACCTCTCTCGACCAAGCCTTCAACCTTTTCCACTTCCTGTGCATCATATATTGTAGATAAAAGTGAACTATGTCATACAAACGCAAGAAATTCAAGAGTAAAATGTAATTAAAATTATTTGATAAAAACATTGGTGACTTATTGATTTCATTTATATTTTCTTACATATGACAGGAGACCCCACTTGTTAGGAATGATTCCAAACTGAGACGAGCGGCCCTCAAGCACGTCAAACGCCGTCTCACAATAGACCTGGATAAAGAACCATCTGAGACAACCCATCAAGACTCGAGGCATACAGGCGATAATCCCAAGGATGCAAGCAAGAAAATGCCTAGATGTCACTCTCTCTCAGAACTAGACCAAAGAAAAGTCAACAGTTTCCCAGATAATGGACTTATAGTCCCATACCTAGAAACAAACAGTGAATTACTTGGAAAAGAATGCTTGGATGAAGTGAAAAGAACAACAAGCGTAGTGAGCGTATCAAGGGAACACAACTACAGCTCTCACAGTGTGAAAATGAAATTTGGAGGAAAGTTTGGAAGCCTGAAAAAAAATCCAGAGGATGCTAAGTCAGACATTCCTGGCAGTGTGAAAACCTCAAGAGATGTGGTGCAGAGCAGTCATAGCAAGGATCAAGATAGTTCTTCAAGTACTGGAGAGAAGTGCAAAGGCACTTTGAAGGAAGCTCAAGGAATGAAATCTCATTTTGAGAGAACAGAGCAGAGGCTCTCGGATATGGGTGGGAAAGAAAATTGGGAGGATTGTTGGCTTTCTGCTAGCTTTCCTCCCCCATCGCTGTCGGGTTTCCCTACCTTCCTTCAAGGGCGTACCAGCCGAGGCACTGCTCGCCCGGGTTCCAGTCGACCCAGCTCTGTTGTAAGCATCGGTGAGCTTGACCGATGGCTGTTTCCGGGTGACAACGCCTCCCCGACGATCACAAGCGGTCAAGTTGTTAAGACGGTCAGCACACCATGGATGTTATCACCGACAGTCACCTCAACTCACTCATCCCCTCCGAAGCTGACTACCCTAGCCAGCCCAGGTGGTCATGGTGTTGCTCTGGCATCCCCTAGGCCAGTACTTCCGCAGACCAATCACCACATGTATCAATCACCACATCGCTCTCTTGTTGATGCCAGTGCAGGAATATCCCCTGAACCTCTCTTCACAAGCACGCCAAAGCCCTCCACTGCTTCAATCAAGTACTTCAATTCAGATTTTATTAGTAGCCAGAGGGGGATGGAATCCGTTAGTTACTCTGGAGACGATACCACAATCCCCGGTCCTCAAGACTGCCATGAAGATCTTGGCAGGTTGAAGCCTTTGGAAGGGATTCCTTTAGAGCAACAGAGTGCACCTGCAACGATGTCACAAAGTACTTTTCAAAAGCTACCTGAGACTGAACATGTGTATCCCAAGGTAAGGTCAGGAGGAAAATGCACTCATCCGCCAACTTTTGGAGATGAACCTTCGCCTACGATTATGTCTACGTCTAGTTCACAGTCTTCAACTCTGCCGCCATATCTGATGCGTTCAAAAGCAGCAGCAGCATCATCCAAGTTGCTTTGTAAGCCAATGGTACATCCTGCAGATATCTGTAGTCCTGGTCAAGGGTTGGTAAATATGGAACAGGTAGGCCCTACATCAGTGCAAAGACTATCTGATCTGCAGAGTGGTGATTCAACCAACGACAGTTCTACGAATCCTTCTGCATCTCTTACTCACCATGTGCCCTTACACCAACTGCAGACATATCCTTCTTCAGGAGAAGCGATTAAGGCTTGTCTTGCACTATCAAAACCAAACTCTTCTCTTCAGAGCCTACCTCAGTCTCCGCACAGTATCCCTGTTGTCGGCTCAGGACTTAGTACAGGACCGTCCAAGAGCCTACCTCGGTCTCTGCAAAGTATCCCTGCTGTCAGCTCAGGACTCGGTACAGGGCCGTCCAAGCTCTGGAAGTCACCTTTAGTACAACAGATCCAGCAAAGGATGCAGCAAAGACTTCCCCCGTCAGGGATTGCATACACACTCAACGGCACGACATATACGATACACGTCAGGCCCGGTACCAGAAACCCCACTCCATCAGGGACTTCCAGTGCAGGCTACATACCACCCTTGAACATCAATCCTACAACCCCAGTGCGCTCCTGGAATAGGTGTCACCAAGAGGCAGTTTGTCGTATGAGAAGTCCTCTAGGTGGGCCGCATCCTCTGCAGGTGGCTCATGGACCTGCTCCAGGATGTACTCCAAGGTTCGCCACCCAGAACAATCCCAATCCTGACACCAAGGCGGCAAGTCTTGGCAGTGTTTCCTCGAGCGGTCGTGTGAATGGTGTCATTGCCCGAGAGGCTTGTGGTAGTTCCAATGCTGAGGTCCCGAGCACAGTTCCTCAGCACCGCCCTTGGATCTTTCCATGTCCCGTTGTGCAAGGATTATCAGTCAGTGGTGACACTCTCCCTCCTAGGCAGACGAATTGCAATGATTTCATCACATCAGGCTAGCAGTGTGGATAAAATGTGATGCGCATTAGAAGACATACTTTGTCAAAGAAAATGATCTTTGTTCCCATCCTTCTACATGTATATCGAGGGGTGAGTGACACAAAGACGTTTTGGCCATTTTGGCCATTTTGGCCATTTTTAGAAAAAGGGGTTTATGTGTTGCTGAGCACTTCAAATGACTTGGGTCTTGAGGAGTTAAGTCTATGTTTCACTAGCCCACATGTTTCTGAACATTTTGATATCAAATACTTATTTTGGCAAAATATGGGGCTACGTCTTTGTGTCACTGAACCCTCGATACAAGCCAGGAAACTTGAGATAGCATTTGCTGAACTTTTATGCTTGTTATGAGATGGTACATATGCCTTGATGAATTATTTCTTTGAATAATGACTAGTTATTTGCCAGAAGTGCCTAAATTCAGATTCATGTCTATGCAATGTGCAAGCTATCTAATATTTTAATCTCCCTTATAAAATGTGTATTAAAGCAAGACTGATACTTGATGGATTAATCCCTTTGGCAGCTCACTCAGGAAGCTATACTGGGATGGTAGGTGAGGCGAGTAACTGCAAGGAGTGCCATGAAGTGCTGAAATGGTGTGTGGACAAAGCACTTGTCCATTTATAGTAAAATATGCTAGGTTCAGTGCAAGTAAACATTGATGTGTATGCTTTTGAAATCATGAATATCTGTATATATTTTATCTTGATTTTTATTTAATTTATTACCTCCAAGAGACTAAGACAAATATCCAGTATTGATTTTGAAGTCTTTTTCCATGATTTTTTACAGCAGCATTACATCATGTTTACATGCATAGCAGGATTTTTTATTTAAACAAAATTATTTTAAGCCTGTTGACTGCATTATGAGGACAGTATTGCCATTACAGGAACTTGAATGCCATGCAAATGCTGCAAACATTTAGAGGCAAAGGTATTATTTTGTCTTTTTCGCAGGGAATTTTGTAATGCTCCCACCTACTTGAACTTGAATGATGAAATGCCATATAAACATGCAAATAAAGTACATATACAGTTAAGAACTAAATTATACATACCCTTACCAAGTTTTGTAATTGTTCAAGTTAGTGAAAAATTGGTTGGTCCCAATATGTGTGTCTTGAGAACCTGACATATTAACGTTTATATCTTAAAATGTGCATCAAAGGCTCTAATTCATCCAGTCAACCTTTTATTCTTCACTTATGAAAAATGCAAAAAATATCAAACTTACATAGGGTATGGATAGTTTAATTGTTAACTGTACATGTACATGGAGTTATGCTAATTGATTTTATATACTATTCCAGAAATGATTGTGTGTGGTTGAGGTTTCCTCTGGTTTATCCTGCTTTCTTATGCATTAAATTCTATGCTGATCATATAACAGTCAAATCTGTCTATAGCGACCGCCCAAGGGAAACACAATAAAGGGTCTCTGTAGACGGGTGGTCTTTGTAGACAGGTTCCTTTAGTACATGTTTCAATGAGAAACCATTTTCAAGGGAAACAAAAAATGTGGTCTTTGTAGACAGGTGGTCACTAAAGCAGGTTTGACTGTACATGTTCTTGTGCTGCCTTTGCCATTTTTCAGCTTTTTTTATTACAATAGACGACATACAAGTTGTCTATAGACAGGAAGATATCGTTTGTTGAGAGCAAGAGGTGCTTTAACTTTGTATCAAAGTATATGTGTATGACTAAATGCCATTCTGGCCCCAAAACAGAGTGAAATTGTTATGAAACAATATTGAGAAATTTTTATCCCGCATCAGACATTAGTCCTATTGACATTTTACACTCTATTATCTAAACAATATTTTTAAATGATTTTTATTTGTAAATGTCATGTGTATTGCAAAGTTGTTTGATTCTACAAGTATAACCATGTATTGATATTCCTATCTATAGAAAAAGCCAAAGTTTTGTTTCGGTCGAAGTCTTGATGATTATTTCTTTTCTCCTTTTCTTCCTTGTAATCTGCTTCTTTTTCAACACAAACATTTATAAATATTTTTAAAACAAAACATATGTCTAGGTCTGATTTAAACAAAAAATATCTCAAATCAAGATACTATATTATATATTTTCTGTAGATTTAAGATTTCATGGGTAAATTAATACATTTTTTATTGTAATAGAAAAATTTTCATGAAAGTTTTTAAAAAGGTTAAATAGAAATTTATTTTAAAATGCAAACTGTTGATATTCTTTAGACTACAATGATAAGGTACTTTTTTTAAATGAATAATGTTTTAACTTTTGTTTTACCATGTTAACTTAGTGTACAAGAAAAAAACATATACATTATACCGGTAGTTGGACAAAACAAATGTATGTTTAAAGATTTTATTTTTGTTTGTTTTTGTTTTTAGGTTTTTTAAAGTAAAGAACAAATTTCACAATTCATTGATAACTATTTTACATCTAGAAACAATGTTCTCTGTCATTTATCACAGTACATAAAACTGAAATTAGAGATCATAAATTAAGTAATCATAAAATATAAAGATAGGCATGTACTTCTGTAGAACACAGGGGTGAATTATGGAGATTTACAGAGAGTACTCTGTATTTATTATCACTAAATTTATATACATTAACTATTCAAGTTTTTACGAACACATTTTAATCGGGAGTCTACTGTTGCAATTAAGCATATTCTAAGTATTTTAATTTGGGATGTATAAAAGGAGTTTCTAATTTGCTTTGGAAAGAGCCGGAGAGTAGAGGCCGCCCACTTCCGAATGCTTCTCCGATTGTTATTA